AACTCAAAAATGCATCAAAGGGGCAACAGTTTGCATTCCCACCAACAGTGCATGAGGGAGCCTTTTTTAGCATGTCCTCACCAACACTTGTGGAAAACAGTATGGAGGTTCCTCAAAAAATTTAAAATAGAACTACCGTATGATCCAGTAATCACACTAATGAGTATTTACCCAAAGAATACAAAAACACTAATTCAAAAGGATACATGCACCCCTTTTTCTATTGAAGTATTATTTACAATAGTCAAATTATGGAAGCAGCTCAAGTGTCCATCAATAGATAAATGGATAAAGATGTGGTATATATATACAATGGAATATTATTCAGCCATAAAAAGAATGAAATCTTGCCATTTGCAACAGCATGGATGGAGCTAGAGAGTATGCTAGGTGAAATAAATCAGTCAGAGAAAGACAAATGCTACATGATTTCACTCGTGTAGAATTTAAAAAACAAGCAAATGAACAAATGGAAAAAAAGAGACAAACCAAGAAACAGACTCTTAACTATAGAGAACAGATGGTTAGCAGAGGGGAGGTGGGTGAGGGGTGAAATAGGTGATGGAGATTAAGAGTACACTTACCATGATGAGCACTGAGTAATATATGGAATTGTTGAATCACTATATTGTATACCCGAAACTAATATAAGACTGTATGTTAAAAAATAAAAATAAAGCTCTCTAGCTGTGAAAAAAATGCATCAAAGGCCTAAATATAAGAACTAAAACTATGAAATGCTTTGAGAAATCACAGCTATCCATCTATATGACCTTGAATGAGGCAATGGTTTCTTAACAATGACATCTAAAGCACAAGCACCAAAGAAAGCATAGATACATTGGACACCATCAAAATTTAAAATTGTTCAAAAGACAGATCAAGAAAATGAAAAGACAATCCACAGAAAGAGGAAAAGGGTTTATAAATCATATATCTGGTAAGAGTCTAATGCCCAGAATACATATATGTTTTTAAAACTCTTGCAGCTCAACAATAACAAAACAACCCAGTTGAAAAAGGAGCAAAGGGTCTGAACTGAAATTTCTCCAGAGAACATATAGAGGTGACCAATAAGTGCATGAAAATATGTTCAACATCATCAGAAGTTAGGGAAATGCAGATCAAAGCCACAATGAGATACCACTTCGTAGCCACTAAAAAGGCTATTATCAAACTGGCGGACAGTAACAGCTCTCGGCAAGGTTATGGAGAAATGGAAGCATTGTCCATGCAGGTGGGAATATAAATGGTGCAGCCACTCTGGAAAACCACTTGCCAGTTTCTCAACATGTTCAGCTTAAAGTTACCATATGACTCAGCAATTCCACTCATAAGTATATACCCAAGAGAAACCAAAAACGTATTTTTTACACAAAAACTTGTACACGAACATTGATAGCAGTGTTGTTATGCACTGTTACCAAAAAATGGCAACAACCTAAAAAGCCCCATCTGATGACTGCACAAACAAAATGTGGTATATCCAAACAGTGACATCATTTTTAGCCATAAAAAGGAATGTTGTACTGATAAGTGCTACAGTAGAGAGGAACTTTGAAAACATTATGCTATGTGAAACGAGCCAATCAAAAAAGATCACGTATTGTATCATTCCACCAATACAAAATGTCCAGAAGAGTCAAATCCATTGAAACAGACAATAGCTTAGTGGTTGCCAAGGGCTGGGGGAAAGGAGAAATGGGAGTTTCTGCTAATGGGTACAGGTTTCTTTTTTCAGTTGATGAAAATGTACTAAAATTCGTTAAAGGTGGTTGCATACCTTTATGAGCACATTAAAAACTACTGCATTGCATACTTTAAAAGGGTATCAATGGAACGTGGATCACCACATCAAAAACCAATGATGTATAGTATGGTGACTAACATAACATAATAAAATTAAAAAAAATAAAAAATAAAAAAATAAAATTACATGAATTATGTTTCAATTAAGCTGTTATATTTTAAAAGACCAAATGAGTGTTAAAAAGAGTACTGGTTTTATGCTCTGTTACAGACTGAATGTTTATATCCCTCCAAAAGTCATATTGCTGAAACCTAATCCCCAATGTGATGATATTTGGAGATGAGTGCCTGTGGGACACCTCTGCCGGCATGAGTGGAATTAGTACCCTCCTAAAAGAGACCCCAGAGAGCTCCCCTTCTGCTATGTGAGGACACAGCAAGAAGATAGCCATCTATGAACTAGGTAGCAAACCCTCACCAGGCACTGATCTGCTGGTGCCTTGATCTTGGAATTCCAAACTCCAGAACTGTGAGAAATAAATGTCTGTTGTTTATAAGGCACTCAGTCTATGGTATTCCCCTACAGCAGCCTAAATGAAAACATGACAATGTAGATATAATACAGCTATTAAAAAAAAAAAAAAAACTGGGGTTGAATGGGGAAAGCAAATGCAAAAATTTCAGCCACTCTCAATAATTAATTGGTTGTGGTAGTAGTCACATTATTATGATGAGACCTTTTGCTGTGTAATTCTGGATTAAGTAAATGAGGAATTATGGGTTATTCTAGTTATACCATCCCTTGTGTCCTTTCCTAGAGGAAAGAAGTTAGAGATATAATATAGGCGAAGTTACATAAAATTCCTATAGTCCTGAATCTGAATGGGAAATAGCAGTATGAATTCATGAGATATCTTGTTTATGTGTGTAGCTATGTGTGTGTGTGTGTGTGTGTGTGTGTGAGTTACTTAACTCTGTCCACTAAAAATCATAGAAACAATGACCAACCCAGTAGCAATAAACATCCCTAGGACCCTGATTATTGTCTTGAAATACCATTTCTCAATTTAAAAAAATGGCTGATCCCAGGCTTGGGATCATATCAGATAGCAAAAACACTAGAAAATACTAGTAGAGCAATGCCAAAAGGATTCAGGAGTTGATTTTAGATGTTCCTACTTGGTAAAGATGGGGAAATTTGAATGTCAATTAGGATACTCACTGAAATGCATTAAAAACCATCAAATATGTTTAAAGTCCATAGTTCATAATGGTATCTTTAAAATCAACTCATTGGTTGTTAGAGATGAAAAGGACAAAACTCATTATCTTAAAAACTGGCAAAGAACAAGAAAATAATTAGGCATTTGTTCCTCTTTTCCTATATGAAATGTTCTATTGGGCAACCAGATAATAGATGAGGAGAAGTATCATTTTATAAAAATATCCCAATCAATAGTTGAAAAAGAAATATTGGATTAAAATATCACCTTTTTGCAACTCACAATGTGTAGATATACTCAGGGAACACTAACAGCTGCTGTCATAAAAAAAGAGTGAAACCCAGACATGATGTGCCCCCTGATGAAAGAACACATCAATTATGTCCTGAGATAGGGTTGAGCCTGACTCCAATCCAGTCTCTGGATCCAGCTGCCAATTTGCAGGAAACCCAGAAGGCAGAGTAACATGGTTGAACTGCACCACGAGAATGCAGGAGTTGGCATTCTCAGTAAAACCTGGACTGCCAGACAGCCTGAGTTCTTCAACAGATAAATTGTAGAGAAAGGAAAAAGATGGAGGGGAAACCTATAGATTAAAAGAGATTTGACAGACATATTAAATTTTCTTAAATGGACAAGAATAAACTGTAGTGTCTAGGGATAGATACTTGCTTGGAGGAGAAGGAAGGGGCTGCCATTAGGATAGGGCACATGGAGGGAATTCTGAGATAGCTGGCAGTTTAATTTCTTGACCTGGGGAGGGGGTTACAAGGTTACTCACCTTAAAATAATTTATCTAACCCTCCACTTGATTTGTGTGGATTTCTAGATCTGTTTTACTGTGCCATAAAAAGGTTTTTAAAATCCCCGCCCCCCCCCCGAAGCATGTTTATTTACAATTTCAGGTGAAAACCTCCATTCTTGGCTTGTCCAAGTTCATCACGACTCCTATTCCATGACTTTTGTGCCTGTATTTGAGAGTAAGTTTTTAAACAACTCAATTTTGCATCTGACATCATGGAACAAAGATGTATGTCCTGTTCTTCTCTAATATGCCTCTGTGCATCTTCATTCATCTTGGATAAGTGGCTGCATATCATCTTCCAGATGGTGCTTGACAAGCAAACCCTTTGTATAATGAAAGGAAACTGTGGCACTGAACACCTCATTCAGGTTTCCATCACCACCACTGCACCTTTTAGATACTAGAATAGACTGTCTGCCCCACTGCAGATTTATCACTATTTGGATGTCAACTCTTTATTCCTCCCAGACTTAATCTGCAGCAGATTACTCAAAATAGGCAGCTGTGATACAGAGAGTGAAAAGAACAGCAGGCTTGGAATGAATACCCCTGGCTCAACCAGCGACTCTTTGTAGCTATGTGATCAGGGGCAGGCTACTTGATATTCCTGCACCTGTTGCCTCATCTGGAAAGTGGGGGTGATCCACGGGGTCTCATGAAGCTTCAGTAAGGTGATGAATAGAAAAGCAGCTTGTGGACTCTACAACTCAATGGTGCCTTCATCACTCCTACACAGCTCACTTGCAATGAATTTCTTTCTCTCTGTCATCACCTATGACCCTATAATGGGTCACATTATGACTCTGCCCCATCAGATACAAAATAATGACCGAAAGGCTCAGAGCCTCCAGGAAGCCAAGGATTGGAGACATAGAGTCTTGGAATGTGAAGGCCTCAGGGGGTCTCAGAGCCATCTGACCCTGAGTGGCATGTTGTGTCCCTTCTAAGGAGCCCCAGGATTCCACAGCCAACTTCAATGGCTGCTTTAGGGCCCAGAAGAAGGAGAAGCCCACAAGACTCTGACTGCCACTGCTACTTCCTTCTGAGCAGTTCTACATCATCAAATCTATTCCTTGGTGCTCTATGTAAGAGTTCATTTTACAGGTTCTGAAAAACAATAAAACAACAACAGAAATGTATCTGTTCTAATTCTCATTTTGCAAATAAGAATAAAGACCTAGAAAAGGTAAGAGACTCATTCAGCATCTTTTTTTTTAAGTTTTTATTTTAATTCCAGTTAGTTAACAGTGTTATATTAGTTTCAGGTGTACAATATAGTGATTCAATAATTCCATGTGTCACCCTGTGCTCATCACAAGTGCACTCTTTATCCCCATCACTTACTTCACCCATGCCCCCAACCATCTCCCCTCTGATAACCATCAGTTTGTTCTCTATAGTTAAGAGTCTGTTTCTTGGTTTGCCTCCCTCCCTCTCTCTCTCTTTTTTATTTTCCTTTGCTCATTTGTTTTGTTTCTTAAATTCCACATATGGGTGAAATCATATGGTATCTGTCTTTCTCTGACTGACTGATTTCACTTAACATTATACTCTCTTAACATTATATTCTCCATCCACGTGGTTGCAAATGGCAAGCTTTCATCCTTTTTTATGGCTGAGCAACATTCCATTGTGTGTGTATACACACACACACACACACACACATATATATATATTATACATATCTTCTTTATCCATTCATCAATCGATGGACACTTGGGCAGCTTCCATATCTTGGCTACTGTGAATAATGCTGCTATAAACACAGGGATGCATGTATCACTTTCAATTAGTGTCTTTGTATTTTTGGGGTAAATAGCCAGTATTGCGATTGTTGAATTGTAGGGTAGCTCTATTTTTTAACTTTTTGAGGAATCTCCATACTGTTTTCCACAGTAGCTGTACTAGTTTGCATTCCCACCACCAGTGCACAAGTGTTCCTTTTTCTCCACATACTCACCAACACTTGTTGTTTCTTGTTTTGTTGATTTTAGCCATTCTGACAGGTGTGGGGTACTATCTCATTGTAGTTTTGATTTGCATTTCCCTGACGGTGAGTGATGATGAACATCTTTTCATATTTCTGTTGGCTATCTGTATGTCTTCTTTGGAGAAATGTCTATTTGTGTCTTCTGCCTATTTTTAATTGGATTTTTTTGTTTCTTGGGTGTTGAGTTTATAAGTTCTTTAAAAGCATTTTTTTTAATTATTTATTTATTTATTTATTTGAGAGAGAGAGAGTGCACGCGCAAGTGGGGGCAGGGGGAGAGGGAGAGGGAGAAGCAGACTCCCCACTGAGCAGGGAGCCCGACTCAGGCTCAATCCCAGGATCCCGAGATCATGACCTGACCTGAAGGCAGACCCTTAACAGACTGAGCCACCCAGGCACCCTGAGTTTTAAAAGTTTTTTATATATTTTAGACACTAACCCTTTATCAGATATGTCATTTGCAAATATCTTCTCCCATTCTGTAGGTTGCCTTTTAGTTTTGTTGATTATTTCCTTCACAGTGCAGAAGTTTTTTATTTTGATGTAGTCCCAATAGTTTATTTTTGCTTGTTTCCCTTGCCTCAGAAGACATATCTAGAAAAAGTTGTTATGGCTGATAAAGAAGTTACTGCCTGTGTTGTCTTCTAGGATTTTTATGATTTCAGGTCTCCCATTTAGATATTTAATCCATTTTAAATTTATTGTTGTGTATGGTATAAGAAAATAGTCCAGTTTCATTCTTTTGCATGTTGCTGTCCAGTTTCCCCAACACCTTTTGTTGAAGAGACTTTTTCCCATTAGATATTCTTTCCTGCTTTATCAAAGATAAATTGGTCATATAGTTGTGGATTTATTTCTGGGTTTCCTATTCTATTGCATTGATCTATGTGATTATTTTTGTGCCAGCACCATACTGTTTTGATTACTACAGCTTTGTACTTTGTAATATACCTTCAAGTCTGTAATTGTGATGCCTCCAACTTTGCTTTTCTTTTTCAAGTTCGCTTTGGTTATTCAAGGTCTTTTGTGCTTCTGTAAATTTTAGGATTGTTTGTTCTAGTTCTGTGAAAAATGCTGGTCGTATTTTGATAGGGACTGCATCAGATTTGTAGAATGCTTTGGGTAGTATAGATATTTTAACAATATTTGTTCTTCCAATCCATGAGCATGGAATGTCTTTCCATTCCTTTGTGTCATTTTCAATTTCTTCCATCAGGATTTTTATAGTTTTCAGAGTACAGGTCTTTCACCTCTTTGGTTGAGTTTATTCCTAGGTATCTTATTATTTTTGTTACAATTGTAAATAAGATTGTTTTCTTTATTTCTCTTTCTGTTGCTTCATTATTGATGTATATGTACAGGATTTTGTGTCCTGAGACTTTACTGAATTTGTTTATCAGTTCTAGTAGCTTTTTGGTCGGTCTTTGGGTTTTCTATATCATGTCATCTGAAAATAGTGAAAGTTTAACTTCTTTCTTATTGATTTGGGTCCCCTTTATTTCTTTTTGTTGTCTGCTGTGGCTGGACTTCTAGTACTTTGTTGAATAAAAGTGGTAAGAGTAGACATCCTTGAGTTGTTTCTGACCTTAGGGGAAAAGCTCTGTTTTTTCCCCATTGAGGATGATACTAGCTGTGGGTCTTTCATATATGGCCTTTATTATGTTGAGGTATGTTCCCTCTAAACTTATTTTCTGGAGGGTTTTTATCATGAATGGATGTTGTGCTTTGTCAAATGCTTTTTCTGCATCTGTTGAAATTATCATATCATTCTTATCCTTTCTCTTACTGATGTGATGTATCACTTTGATTGATGTGCAAATATTGAACCACCCTGGCAACCCAAGAATAAATCCCACTTAATCATGGTGAGTGATTTTTTTCATGTATTGTGGATTTGGTTTCCTAGTATTTTGTTGTGAATTTTTGCATCTATGTTCATCAGAGATATTGGCCTGTAATTCTCTTTTTTAGTTGTGTCTTTATCTAGTTTTGGTATAAGGTAATGCTGGCCTCATAGAATGAATGTGCAAGTTTTTCATTCTTCTATTTTTTGGAATATTTTGAGAAGCATAGGTATTAAATCTTATTAAATGTTTGGTAGGATTCGTCTGTGAAACCATCTCATCTTGGACTCTTGTTTGATGGAAGATTTTTGATTACTGATTTAATTTCTTTGTTGGTTATTGGTGTATTCAAATGTTTTATTTCTTCTTGTTTCAGTTTTGTAGTTTATATGTTTCTAGGAATTTATCCATTTCTTCTAAGTTGTCCAATTTATTAGCATATAGTTTTTCATAATATTCTCTTATAATTGCATTTCTGTGTTGTTGGTTGTTATTTCTCCTCTCTCATTTGTAATTTTATTTATTTGAGTCCTTTCTTTTTTTTTCTTGATAAGTCTGGCTAGACGTTTACCAATTTTATTGATTTTTTTCAGTGAACCAGCTCCTGGTTTCATTTACCTGTTCTATTGGGTTTTTTTAGTTTCTGTACCATTTATTTCTGCTCTAATCTTTACTATCTCCTTCCTTCTGCTGGTTTTAGGTTTTGTTTGTTCTTTTTCTAGCTCCTTTAGGTGTAAGATAAGGTGGTTTATTTGAGCTTTTTCTTGCTTCTTTAAGTAGGCCAGTATTGCTATAAACTTCCCTCTTAGAACATCCCATAGGTTTTAGACCATCGTATTTTCATTTTCATGTGTTTCCATGTACTTTTAAAATTTCTTCTTTTATTTCCTGGTTGAATCACTCATTGTTTAGTAGCATTTTATTTAACCTCCATATATTTGTGGTCTTTCAAGATTTTTTCTTGTGGTTGACTTCTAGTTTCATAGCATTGTGATCAGAAAAGATGTGTGGTATGACTTCGGTCTTCTTGAATTTGTTGAGGATTATTCTGTGGCCTAGCATGTGATCTGTTCTGGAGAATGTTGCATGTGTACTTGAAAAGATTATGTATTCTGCTGTTTTAGGAAGGAATGTTCTGAATATAACTGTTAAATCCGTCTAGTCCTGTGTGTCATTCAGAGCCATTGTTTCCTTATTGATTTTCTATTTAGATGATCCATCCATTAATGTAAGTAGGGTGTTAAAGTCTCCTACTATTATTATATTATTATTTATCAGTTCTTTTATGTTTGTTATTAACTGTTTTATGTATTTAGGTGCTCCTGTGTTAGCTGCATAAATATTTACAATTGTTTTATCTTCTTGTTGGATTGTCCTCTTTATTATTGTATAGTGTCCTTCTTTGTCTCTTGGTACAATCTTTGTTTTAAAGTCTATTTTGTCTGATATAAGTATTGCTACCCTGGCTTTCTTTTGACATACATTTGCATGATAGATGTTTCTCCAACCCCTCACTTTCAATCTGCAGGTGTCTTTTGGTCTAAAGTGAGTCTTTTGTAGGCAGCATATAGATGAATCTTTGAATCCATTTGCATTCAAAGTAATTACTGATAGATATGGGAATGCCTGGGTGGCTCAATCAGTTAAGTGTCCAACTCTTGAATTCAGCTCAGGTCATGATGTCAGGGCCTGGGATCAAACCCCACATTGGGCTCCATGCTCAGTGGGGAGTCTGCTTGAGATACTCTTTCTTCCTCTCCTTCTGCCCCTCTCTCCACCCATGTGCGCTCTCTCTCTTTTTCTCTCTCTCTCAAATAAGTGGACATATCTTTCTTTAAAAAAAAGTAATCACTGATAGATATGTATTTATTGTCATTTTATTATTTTTGTAGTTGTTTCTGACTATTTTCTCTGTTCCTTTCTTGTCTTTCTCTCTTTCATGGTTTGTTGACTTTCTTTAGTGATGTATTTGGATTTCTTTCTCTTTATTCTTTGCATATTTATTAGTGGTTTTTAATATATGGTTACTGTTAGGTTTGTGTATAACACAACCTGCATATAGCAGTCTGTATTACGTTGATGGTTTAAGTTTGAACCATTCTTTTCTCCTCTCTTCCCATGTTTTAGGTACATATTGTCATATTTTACATCCTTTTATTTTGTGAATTCTTGGACTGATTTTTTACAGAAATATTCATTTTTACTGCTTTTCTGTTTCCTACCTTCATACTGCCACTTTAGGTTTCTCCTTTCCACTCAAAGAGTCCTCTTTAATATGTCTTGCAAGGCTGGTTTAGTGGTCATGAATTCCTTTAGTTTTTGTTTGTCTGGGGAAACTCTTTATCTCTCCTATTTTGAATGATAGCCTTGCCAGATAGGGTGTCCTTGGCTGCAGATTTTTCCCATTCAGCACTTTGAATATATCATGCCACTCTCTTGGGCTTACAAAGTTTCTGCTGAAAAATCCCCAACTAGCCTTATGGGGGTTCCCTTATATGTTACTGTCTTCTTTTGTCTTCATGCTTTTAATTTTTTTTGTTTTTGTTTATCACTATATTTTGCCAATTCAATTGCAATATGTCTTGGTGTGGATCTACTTTTGTTGATTTTGTTGTGAGCTCTCTGTACCTCCTAGATCTAGATATCATTTTCTTTTCCCAGATTAGGGAAATTTTCAGCTATTATTTCTTCAAATAAAATTTCTCCCCCTTTTCTCTCTTTTCTTCTCCTGGGACTCCTAGAATACAAATATTATTATATTTGATGGAGTCACTGAGTTCCCTAAGTTTATTCTCATGTTGTATAATAATTCTTTTTCTTTTCATTCAGCTTCATTACTATCCTATCTTCTAGGTCATTCATTCATTCTTCTGCTTCTTCCAGCCTGCTGTTCATTCCATCCAGCATGTTTCTTATTTCATTTATTGGGCTCTTTATCTCTGCTATGTTATTCCTTAGCTCTGTGTTAAAGGTCTCACTCAGGTCTTCCACTCTTTTCTCTTGAAGTTCAGTGAGTATCTTTACGATTACTACTTTAAATACTCTATCAGGCATGTTACTTATGTCTGTTTTGCTTAGATCTCTGGCTGTGGCCTTGTCCTGTTCTTTCATTTGGGATAAATTCCTCTATCTTCTCATTTTATCTAAGTCTCTGTGCCTATTTCTGTGTGTTAGGGAAATCAGATACATCTCTTATTCTTGAGGGTAATGGCCTTATGAAGAAGAGGTCCTGTAGTGCCCTCCCATGTAGTGTTCCCTATTCCCCATGGCCTGACACTTCTGTGAGTGTCTCCAATGTGTGTTGCATGTGCTCTCCTGTTTTGTCCTGGCCACTTTATCCTTAAGGCCAGTCATCTGCAGAGGCTCTCTTTGCCCATTGTGGGCAGGGTTTGGTCCCTGGGCTGAATGTGGTGCATTTTCACTAGGTGTGCTCTGCTCTGCTTATGAAATAAGAACTGTCACCACTACCACCAGAACTGAGGTTCTGCGAAACTTCTGAGTGGGGAGATGAGGTGTGAACCGGGGTTTGGCCAGTCTCCTGGAGGGGGTCTGCTGTGCTGGGACTGAGCCAAGCCTGACTTGGAGGGGCATTTCCACCAGAGTGTGGGGAGTAGGGCTTGGGGCAAGCAAGGTACATAGCAAGTGAGCTCCACATTGGTTCCTGCAGGAAGGCCTGTGCTTATGCTGGGAGGTAGGGGAAGGAAATGGCACTGGCCAGTTTCTTTGTTCTTGGAGTGGTCTGTCTGTAAATGCTGTCTCTCCAGGACACACTCTGAGATAAGTGAATTACCCCCCCACTAAATGCCCCAAGTGCTCTTCAGGCCGCTGTTTCCATGTTGTACGTCCACTGGTTGTTTGCCTGCCTTCTCTCCAAGAGCAGCGTTATGCCTTCTGGGATTTAACACAGCCAACCCTGCTGACCTTTAAAACTCCAGGCTTTAAGCCCTGCTGGTTGCCAGAAGTCACAAAATTTATCCCCTTTCACTTTCCAAGCCAGTTACTGTGGGGATTCCATTTCCCTGGGAGCTGTCTTGTGTGCTAGTCTGTCTCTTGCCCTTCTCCATAACCATGGCTCCCTCTCCATTACAGCAGCCATGATCCATTTCTCTCCCAAACCATGTCTCCATACTTCCTGCCTTCTTCTATGTAGCCTCTTCTCTCCCTTTGTTATGGAGTTTGTTCTGCCAGTCTTAAGGTCAATTTCTGGAGTATTTAGGATGATTTGATAGTCATCTAGTTATATTCATGACAAGAGGTGAGCCTCCTACTCTGCTGCCATCTTCCAACTTCTCTCATCCAGCCTTTCAACTAGTAACAGGAAGAACTGTGGCCAGAATGTAGTTCTTCTGGATTCTATGCCAGCATCCATTCCACCAAGTCTCTCTCTGTGGTGCTTCCAGGGTTCTGTATTGGCCTTATGGATAAGAAACAGAACTAGCAGCTGGGCAACCAACTACGGTTGTGCCCTGCACAAGAACAGCCCATCGAGGCCGGGCACCCTGTACTGGTGCTTGTTCCTTTGGTATTTTCTGCTTAGTATGACTGTGCTATGTGAGCTGGCTTTAACTCTGGCCAACGGTATGTCCAACTTTGTGTGCCAAGGCTCCCCTGCTTCTTCTCTCTTCTGAATCCTTTCAAGGTGTCCTCCCAATTTAGCCTCATCTGAGCTCTGTTGTGTACAGTGAAGACCAGTGAGTTTTTGATGAAGCACATCCATAGAATTGTGAAGATTGATGGTTTTTCCGATAGTCTGTGTCCTCAAAGTAAGTTAGATACGACTGGAAACTGTAATTGCTTGTCCAAGCCACTAGGGTACCATTTAGGAAATTACTTCCTCAGTAAAATTTAGTAAATTACAGTTGTAATTTAGTAAAACTAGGCTACTCTTTGGTAAATTAGTGTTTCAGGGCAGTTGCAATGATGTACTGCACAGAACTTAGTGAATGGTATCCCAGTGACCTATAATGCCCCTTCTAGGTGGGCCTGTGCAAAGGGGAAAGCTTCTGTGTCATGGGAAAAATGTCCAGTTTATTATAATTCATGAGAAGGGAGAGACCAAGAGTCCTTAGGAGGTCAGAGGGTCCTCCCTGCATTTGTTAAGGAAAATTTCTCAAACAGCACATGTAAATAGCTCCCAAATGGATACAAAATTCAGAGCATTTCATAGCTTTCAGGGACAATCAATTTGAAAGGAGGAAAGAAGGAAGGAAGAAAAATTTTCATGATTGATAGAATGGGATGTTTAAAGAAGCAACCAAAACGTTTTTAATGGATCCAAATATTCATAAACACATGGTAAGAATGATGGTGCTTTATAAATGCTCTAACATAAAGTCTTGATAATATACAGATAATGCCCCAGGGGACCTATAATGTGCTTCTCCTCAGAAGCTCAACAAACTGCTATGTAAATTATTAGTGATTAATATTTTCTACATTAATCTTATACATACATTTAATCTTCAAACATTACTGCTGGCTCTTTTGCCAATCTCCCTTCAGTCATTATTAAATAAAATTTCTCATTTCTTTCTTCCTACAAACATCCCTTTTTTCTTAAATCTTTCAGAATTTCTGGAATATACCAAAAGATTTGAGAAAAATCTGTCTTTGCTAGAAGATACTCTGGCAAGTCAATCCTTCTGAAAGAATTAATTTTTTTGAAATCAGTGCCTACTTAGTTTTGCAATTTTCTTTTAAAGAATGCACTCCATTTTAGAAGACTTTTGTTAAGGGGAACTTATTCCTCATCTCATGCCCCAGAAGTTTTCTCTGCCCCTAGCTTGCTCCTCCCTGTAAAGGAGTGACTTATTTGATCAATGTTTGGACCACATTACTTGGAGGGCATTGATGCCCATCTCAGCTGCTATGGGTTGAATTGTGTCTCCTAAAAAAATACGTTGAAGTCCTAACCCCTAACATTTGTGAATGTGACCTTATTTTGAAATAGGGCTTTGCAGACGTACTCAAGTTAAGACAAGGTCATTAGAATGGGACCCTAATCCAATATGACTTGTGTTCTCACAAGAAGAGAAGAAACACAGATGCATCTACAAGCTGAGAATGCCAAGGACTGCTAGCAAACACCAGAAGCTAGGAGAGGCAAGGAAGGATTCTTCCCTACAAGTTTCAGAGGAAGCATGGCCCTGCTGACACGTTGGTTTTGGACTTCTTGCCTCTGGAACTGTGAGAGAATAAAGGTCTGTTTTCAGCCACGAGTTTGTGGTACTTTGTTGCAGGAATCCTATAAAACCAGTATACCACCGTTGCTCTCTCTCCTCTTCTATCTGCCTCTTGTACCCATGCATGGTGAGGGTCTGTTCTAGCCAAGTCTCATCTTTCAATTCCAGCTCTCACCTGTGGCAAAACCAGGCAAATCAGAGTCACGAAAAGTCCTAAAGATTTAGGTTGTGGAAGGGAGATCCCTCTGTTCTCTCTCATCCAAATCTGCCACTTCCTAAAGCTGCCCCAGAACTTTGCTTCATTGTGTTCCTTGTGTCTATTTGAAGATGGTTATAATGTGGAGGCTCCTACCATTTAGTTATAACACACTGTTCCATCTATGTCACCTGTTCACCCCCTATGCTGGTTAACAAGCTAGTGTTGGCTACAAATCTACCCTTGTATTCTCTCTACTTCATGTGGCTGGTGCCTGCCATTCATTCCTGTCTGCTTCTCTATTTAAACATTGCCATTATCCTGAGTAACTTCAACATCTTCATGACAACCCACCCAGCAGCCTTGGCCTATCAGCTCCTGCAAAACCTCACCACTATGTCCTGCTTCACTGCATCTGGCTTGATCACTCAACTATGACTACCCTTTGACCATCATTTATCCCCTTGACTAATATTTGTCCTTGCCCAACCCCCCCACCCCCCACTCCACTCCACACAGCAGAAACAAGGAACACTTTTCACATTTGGTCAGGTCACTCTGAGCATGTCAACCTTCTTCCTAAAAAAATAATTCATAAATAAAATATATAGAGATATAGAACAGAGTAATGGTTGCCAGGAGGGAAGGGGGTTGGTGGGTGTGGCTATATAAGGATAGTGTGAGGGAGCCTGGTGGTGATGGGACAGTATCTTGATTGCAGTTGTCATGTGAGTCTACACATGTGATAAAATTGCACAGAACTGTGCACACACACAAATGAGTGCATATAAAACTGTGACTATCTGAACAAGCTCTCTGGATTGAATCAGTATTAATTTCTTGCTTTTGATATTGTACTATAGTTAAAGAAGATGTTACGTTGGGGGAAAATGAATGAAGGGTACACTGGACTTTCTTGTACTTTTTTTTTTTTTTTGCAACTTCTTGTAAATCTATAATTATATCCCCCAAATAGATTTTTTATTTATTTATTTTTAAGATTTTATTTTTTTATTTTTTGACAGAGAGAGAGACAGCGAGAGAGGGAACACAAGCAGGGAGAGTGGGAGAGGAAGAAGCAGGCTTTCTGCGGAGCAAGGAGCCCAACATGGGGCTCGATCCCAGGACCCTGGGATCATGACCTGAGCCAAAGGCAGACGCTTAACCAACTGAGCCACCCAGGCACTCCCAAAATAGATTTTTTAAAAAGGGAAATCAAGTTGCCATTCCTGACATTGTGTTAAATGCTGAAGACAGAGTCAAGAGCAAAACAGACGGTGTATCTTACCTCATATTATTGAGAAAGACCAATGGGGATTTACCGCGGTTCCCATCACTCATGAAACAAGCCAGAATCCTGAACAAGGCCTTGTAGGCTCCCTGATGGGCCCCGCCAACCCTGGAAGCCTATCGTCCCACCATCCTTTGCCTCCATTCTCTGCCCTCCAGCCATGCTGGCCTCCCCAGATGCCCTAGCTCGCATCAGGCTTTCTCCATGACAGGCCCTCCCACCCATCCACCTCTGAGTAGTCTCCCCTGAGTCCTAGACCTCATCAGGCCCCCTGTTACAGGCTCTCCTACCACCTTGAACCTTTTCTCCAGAGGTGCAATGGATCTAAACTTCCCTATTAAATTATAAGAGTGAATGATTTCTCTACTCATGATTAAATCCTCAGCACCTCATACAGTGGCTGGAAATTAGGAGTCTCACAGTCTGAACTTTTTGAATGAGCAAATGACTAGAAGGGCTTTAAGAAGAGGAAGGAAATAGTCTGATTTACCTTTGTCAAAATAATTTTTTTATATTTTAGAACAACTATAGAGTTACAGAATAATCACAAATGTAGTACAGAGTTTTTATACACTCCATATACAGTTTCCCTATTGTTAACATCTTATATTAGTATGGTAGATTTGTCACAATGAAGCAATATTGATACATTATCATTAACTAAAGTCAATATTTTATTCAGATTTCCTCGGTTTTTCTCCCTAGTGTCCTTTTCTGTTCTAAAGCCCTTCCAGGGCACGACATTAACAATTTGTTGTCATGTCTCTTTAGACTGCTCTTGTTTGTGACAGTTCTCAGACATTCTTTGTTTTTGATGTCTTCAACAGTTCTGAGGATTGTTGGTCAGATATTTTGCAGAATTTTCCTCAACTGGAATTTTTTTTAAATATTTCTCTCATAGTTAGACTGGGGTAATATAGTTTTGGGGGAGGAAGACCACAGACGTAAAACACATTCTCAGCACATCACATCAAGGGTACCTGTATCAACATGACTTATCACTGTTGATGTGACCTTGATCATCTGGTCTCAGGGAGTGTTTGTCTACTGTAAAGTTACTCCCTGCACTTTCTCTACTGTAAAGTTACTCCCTGCACTTTCCACTCTGTGCTTTTAGGGAGACAATCACTATGTGCAGCCCACACATAGGGAGTGAAATGTTATGCTCCCTCTCCTTAAGAGTAAAGTTATCTCTATAAATTACTTGGAACGCTTCCACTTAGGAGATTTATATCTTCTCCACTATTCACTTACTTATATATTCAGTCATTTATTTGTATAAATATGGACTTGTGGGTATTTATGTTTTGGGTTATATATGACTTCGCTTTTTTGCTCAAATAATTCCAGCTTTGACCATTGGGAGCTCTTTCAGTTAGCTTTTGTATCTCTTTGACATACCTCCATTATTGTGGAGATTTTTTTTTTTTTTTTTTGAGCACTTCCTTACCTTCTGGCACTATAAGATGCTCCAGGCTCATTGGTATATTTCCAACCTGAGTCCTAGATTCAGCCATTCTCCATGGATACCTGGTTCCTTCTACTGAAGAATGATATTAGACACCAAAATCCAGACAGTGGGTGTGCTCATTGTCACTGGGAGCTATTACTGAGAGGCCTTCTCAGATGACAGGCAAAGGAAATACGTGTATGTACACTAACCTGTGTACATCTCATATCTATAGATATTTCTATATGTAACAGTATAATAAGATAAACATGAGTTCATACTGGGGTCTCCAATTCTAATCCATTACCATGTAGATGATTCTAGCCTCCTCATCTTGCTTACCTGTAACCTCCCACTCCTACAGTGAGAAACCTAACTTCCACCATTTATTTGTTTAATTCCCGTATACATGTAGAGTGGTTTCAGACTTGTTAACCCATGCTCCCTGAGAAACAACTTTATCCACTAGAATATGGTGCTTATTCTCAGTTCTTTGGGCCTTTAGTGTGTTTAGACACACACTGTGACATCAGTGATTTGTCAGGAAACCTGCTTGAAGAAGAATAAATTCCACAGCCAAACCCTTCTCCTTGCTGACATTATTCCTATAGCAATAATATTGCCTGGGCTGCTATGTTATTCTGTACACACCTTTCCACTTGTCTGGAATGCCACCTTTCTTTCTCTGGATTTGTCCAAATTGGAAATTCCAAAGCCCATCCCAGGACTTCCATCATCATTGGGGTCATCGTCATCATCATCATCATCATCATCATCCCAACCTGGAGAGATCTCTCTCTCCCTTGGTTTTTTGGGGAAATCAATAACTGTAGAGATTAGTTGGCAATTGATCATGTGTTGTTTTGACACCTGTTGTATCACGATGTCTTACTAAATAATCTAAAATTTTATTATTCATGTACAGGCAGTCCTCACTTTGCATGGTAGTGTGGGACAGTAAAAATGACCATGTGACCTGAAACCATGCAGAGCAATCTTAATGATCAATGGGAAAAATATGATTTTTCAATGGCATTAAATAATACCCGTCAAAACATTTAAAATCTTCTTATTGTCAGTGGCAAATATATAGGAAAAGAAAGAAATAGTAAAACTAAGTATCTAATTAGCATGCTATAATGTAAAACACTAGAAACATTGATAATTAAAGTGTTTTGTTTCTTTTTTAAAAAAACTTATCAAGAGTAGTTTGAACAGTACTTTCTTTCTCGTCTAGAACTGATGATGTGGAGCAAGCAACTTTTCTATGCCTGGTGAATTGTCTCCTCCTTTCTGAGTTTGGGTCACTTTCAACATTTTCCCCTTATTCTTTCAAATGTCATAAAATATATCTGAGAGTTCCTTTAACTTGAAGTGGTTTTTTGCTGGTGTTACTTCCTTTGGGACACCTTTTTTTTTTTTTATCATGACCACTTTCCTCATTTATGTCTGTAATTTTGCTTTCAGTAAGTTCATCTGACTGCACATCTGCAGTCTTTCCAAAGGTGGCAGGGTCAACATTCCCATGGTCAGCTCTTTCTTCCACGATGTCATTTATGTCCAATTGAAATTTTATTTTCATCTTTATCACTTTTTTTCCTTTGATGCACCTTTATCTCTGTTGGCCAATTCTTCCTTTTGGTTATGCATTTTTATAAAATGCTTATCACTGAGGGAAAAGGAGGCTGTGCAACTTACTAAGAGAGGCACACTGACCAATCACTACAGACTTTGAAAGAAGTGCGTGAGTGGTCACTGATCATGCTGCATGTGTTATTTACACAGTTATTTGTGGACTGGAGAGCTAGTAGCAGAGTTTATACTTAAGTAACAGACAGTTACCATACCATGATATGGTAACTGAAATTTGAACCACATTGTTGGGGGCCTGGTGTTATTTAACTGAACCTTGCTAACTGAGATTCATGCATATCAGAACCATGAAAAGTGAGAACTGCCTGTATTTTTACTTTGTCTCAAGTCCAGCATGAGCCCCATGAGGTAGGACCCATGACTCAGGGAGTAATCTGCACAAATCCCCCACCCTAACCCTAACCACCTGCCATAGCATATAAAAAACA